TATCGTTCACGAACCTCCTGAATTAAATTAAAATAATAATGCGTGTTTATATTTTACAATTTAAAAAAAAAAAAAAAAAAAAATAAAATAAAAATCTTATTTCGTTAAAATGTATTTTATTAGTTTCACAACACGTATAAGCGCATATATGTTATTTTATATGTTCTCTGAAAATTTCTTCGCTCGTTATGTCGATTCATCGAATTTTACATCAAATAAAATATTTGTACATTTTTTTTATTATTATTATTATTATTATTATTATTTTATTTTTATTTTTTTTTATAAGGTACCGTTAATACCCATTTTAAAATTTTATCAATGATAGCAAAGTATCAGAAAATCGTATTCAACTCCGATGATATAATTAAACTTATACGAAAAATATTTTAAAGTGAATATCTATTAAAATAGATGCCCACGTTAATAATTATAAAATTAGAGTACGATTTCAAGGCACAGAGAAAAACATTCATTAGATACCAATTTTATTGTGTAGCTAGTAATATTTATTCTCCTTGCCTAATTTCAAAGGCTTACTCCAATGATTAATAATACGTTTAGAATAAAATTCCACTTTAAAATATTTAGCTTATATTGTTTATTTATTATAATGAATTAACTAATAGGAAAGTTAATCGATAATTTAATTAACCATTTATAACTTCGGTGCTATGAAACATTAAAAAATGGTGTTACTATGTAAAGAAAATTTCTTAGTTTTGTATTAATTTTTGAAATCAAAATAGTTACATTTTTTTCGCATTTAGTATTTATAAATAACTAATGGTTACATTATTTTATAATAATCTTGTTTAATTTTGTGCGGAATCACAGATGTTCGAATGAACGAATAAACAAATACCTACGAAAATAAAAAGAAAATCTAGTCAATTCCTTTATCATTAATATGGAAAATATTAAAATGATTTTTAGTCTTTTCAATATTGTTCTATTTATTATATTCGGCGACAGGATTGTGGGTTCAGTCATAAAAAAAGGATATTTTGCTTTTCTCTTCAATAAAACAATTAAATGCAAATAATGAAGGTTCTGTTTGACGAACTAGTTGCCTAAGATAGAATATTTCATTGAAAGTACTTAAAGTAAAAATGCAAATCCTTACACAATATTTATGTACAAGATTATATTATAGAAAATTATAACCAAACTATATTGGAGAAAAATATTTGTAATATATAATTACTATTCATAATCATATATACAGGAATATTTTTAATATTGTATTATTTGCAGTCAAGTTAAGATTGTATCGACTACAAATTACACTCAATTAATCATTGTATATTAATTATAAATTTATAACAAAATATTTTCTTTTCATTAGCATATACTGATAAGTAATACCGTAAAACAATTGATATATTATTCATGCATAATAAAATGTTTAATGAAAATGAATGTTATTTAGATTGATTAAAAGTTCGTAAAAAATATTCCAATGAAAAATGTCTAAGTACAGACAATAAGTCATCAAAATAAATTCTATGTTGCTTTTATCGTTTCCTTCCGTCATTTAATACGCAAATATCGTATATACTTATAGTTAAAGTTACTTCATTTTTTTTTTTTTTGTTTGTTTTATTTCATTTCGTTTGGTTAACGATAACAGATTTTTCTCAAGTATTCCAAATAACGCAAACAATAAAACAGAACTTTTCTTATCAAGATAATCACATTATTTTTTTTTTTATAAATTTCAAATGTCTTGCAATGAAATTCAGTGAAATTTCGTCATTTATTTTTCGTATTTATCAGTAAAATCGAACTTTATACTTAATTCATTTTACACTTACTTATTTCATTAGATGCTAATTATATATATTTATAACAATTTATAAACTGTTGAAATGAAATAACATGTAATTTAACTTCTAATCTAAAAAAAAAAAAACAGAATATTGAATTCAGTTGAAATCTTGATTAATTCCTTCATTAATAAATTTTATTAGTATTCAATATCTTTAAAATAATAATATTTTTTATTTTATATAGTATTTAGTTCTTAAAAATATTATTGTACAAAATTGTATAAAGTTACGTTTTACCGTTTAGAATCTAAAAAAAGAAAGAAAAAAAGACTCCAATTCACTTTTTCCTTTGCACGACCGACAATTTGTAAAAGTTACAAGTGCAAGTAACACGTCTAGCGAAATCAACTCGATAAGCACAAAATTGTTTTAAAAGAGGACATGATAAAGAGTATTAGAATATCTTTTAGAATAGTTCTAGTTTCAAAGAAGAACACCGAAGCCTATTATTTATTTTTATCAGTTATTATTAAATTTCTGTTATAATTCTTTTTGCTGTTCATGAACACATCATTCAGACCACTCGCTAAGCCAGTATTTACCATTGTTTCACTTACATACACACACAGACAAATTCATTCGTATCTTTTTCTTACGTGCGACTGTTTTTCCAACAAGCAGAAAATTAAAATAGGCATAACAAAAAACGTATACACATAGGTTTCACTTACATACACACACAGACAAATTCATTCGTATCTTTTTCTTACGTGCGACTGTTTTTCCAACAAGCAGAAAATTAAAATAGGCATAACAAAAAACGTATACACATAGTTAATATTTATAATGCATATATATATATATATATATATATATATATATATATATATAACCGATGGACGAAACTGGACGCACTCGACAGGCACTCGCAGTTACAGACGAATTAAAAATAAATGACAATTAAAAATAAAAATAGTATTAAAGAATGTACACGTCGGGTGAGGTGTGAGAGTGCGGCTGATTTTTCATCTTTCGATCAGATGACTTTTTCTCCATTATTTAATTATTTGATCAACTTATATAATTCATGACAAAAATCTTTTATAATAAGGAAATCGTTTAACGTGGTAGTATAGTTCCAAAAACTTCTAATTTTCTAAATAAGTTTCTTAAAAACTTATTATTTAGATTTCTTTCAGGAAAGTATTAGAAATTCTTATGATTTTTGAATTCATTATATATATATATATACTATATTCAAAATAATAGCTTTATTTTTATTATTATTATTAATTTTTTTTTTGTTTATAAACTATATTTATCTAATAAATACGTGAATGATATTTTTCAACGTTTGCATTAGACATCAATAAAAGATCGAGATAACTTTCTTTCGTTAACTTCAATACTTAATACGTAGTATTGCAGTATACTATATAATTCTATAAATAGAACATTTTCAATTTTTTTATAATTCAGATCTATATTATAATTCATAATGAAACTGACACATTCAGTTTATTTAACGTTATTGTTCCTAATCACACAAATAAGCTTTTTTTACGATAAGAAATAAAGATTTTCCTCTTAATTTGCACATATATTTCATATGAAGCCATTAAATTTTATCATTTTACTAATTTAATTCTTTCATACAATATACAATGTAAAACAGTAATAGAAGAGGTAATAAATATACCCGTTTATATAAATTTATTATGAAAAACATCTCATTAAATTGATACGACCTTATATCGGCATTTCATTAAAATTTTCTCAATATTTTTTTCGCCCTTTTTTTTTTATACAAAAATTCATAATTGTTCGAAGACTCGACATATGCTTGAATTACTTTTCGACTCAGAAGACTCGCTTAATCTCATAATGTCCCCTTATAACTATTATATCTCGTTTGTGCACGCTTTCGCAAATTTGAAGAATAAACTTTCGTTAATCATCTCGCACGTCGCTATCGTTTATCATAAATCAATCACTTTCAACAATTGCAATGCAACATGCCTCCTCGATAGAAACGGAGAAAAGCCGAGTTCGATACTGTATAGCAAGGGCTCGTCGAGGCGCCGAGCACCTTCGCAAAACCCCAGCCACACTCTCCGCGCCTCGGCACATCCGAAGTAACGTCTAAAAACAATAATATTAAAAGAGACGCAGAGGGAAAGGAAAACTTAAAATCGAAGAAGATATTAGAGGTAATTAATGATAAAGTCAAAACGAAGACGACGAGGAGAGAACGAAGGGAGAGAGGATGAGCGCGTGATGCGCAGAATACATTAATGGTGAAAAAGCGCCTTCGGGGTGTGTTCCTTGCAAAAAAAATTGTTCACCCCGCCTCGGCTCCTAACGGTCGATTCTCAGGACGACGGTTGCTCGCAGCCGAAACGCCGAAATGCGCCCTTGTCCTGAACAACAGCTACGGCGTTTTCGCTTGCGTCGGCCGATTACCGACATTATCGGCATCGTCATCGTCGTCGTCGTCGTCGTCATCATCATTGGTGTTGTCGTTGTTGTCGTCATCGTTGCCACCACTACTGCAGTCATTGTCGTCGTCGTCGTCGTCGTCGTCGTCGTCGTCGTGGTCGTCGTCGTCGTCGTCGTCGTGGTCGTCGTCGTCGTCGTTGTCGTCATCGTCGTCGTTGTTGTCATCGTCGTCGTCGTCGTCGTCGTCGTCGTCGTCGTCGTCGTCGTCGTCGTCGTCGTCGTCGTCGTCGTCGTCGTCGTCGTCGTCGTCGTCGTCGTCGTCGTCGTCGTCGTCGTCGTCGTCGTCGTCGTCGTCGTCGTCGTCGTCGTCGTCGTCGTCGTCGTCGTCGTCGTCGTCGTCGTCGTCGTCGTCGTCGTCGTCGTCGTCGTCGTCGTCGTCGTCGTCGTCGTCGTCGTCGTCGTCGTCGTCGTCGTCGTCGTCGTCGTCGTCGTCGTCGTCGTCGTCGTCGTCGTCGTCGTCGTCGTCGTCGTCGTCGTCGTCGTCGTCGTCGTCGTCGTCGTCGTCGTCGTCGTCGTCGTCGTCGTCGTCGTCGTCGTCGTCGTCGTCGTCGTCGTCGTCGTCGTCGTCGTCGTCGTCGTCGTCGTCGTCGTCGTCGTCGTCGTCGTCGTCGTCGTCGTCGTCGTCGTCGTCGTCGTCGTCGTCGTCGTCGTCGTCGTCGTCGTCGTCGTCGTCGTCGTCGTCGTCGTCGTCGTCGTCGTCGTCGTCGTCGTCGTCGTCGTCGTCGTCGTCGTCGTCGTCGTCGTCGTCGTCGTCGTCGTCCTCATGATCCCTCGATTAGGCTAGCTTCTTCTCGCTCGCATTGTTATTTGCCACGTAACCGTTATTCGTGCCGTTACTGTAGCAACTGTTGTACTCCTTGTTGTAGATCGTCGCGTAGGACGAAATCCCGTTCTGCTTGTGCTTGTGGACGTCGTCCTCGAGGACGGGCATACATGCACCGGCATTGCCGTTTCGCTCGACCGTATCACCCGAGCTGGAGATGCCGCTGGTGCGCGACCTCGCCGACTTGCCCGTATACTTGGCCTTATAGAAGTCGGAAAAGAGGCCGAGGAAGAGAAGACCATGGAGACCAATCCAGATCATGAAAGTGCGCGGGTAATCACATTCGGTAAACAGTAGCTGGAACTGGTGGGTCATTATCATTACAAATTGCACCTGTGAAATAAAAAGGGGCCGATTAATCCTTAGAAATTGGCTTTGAAGCTGGTTTTTCTTGGCCGTAGATGATACTGACAGGAAAGCATATTATATGCCTCATGTGTCCCTGTCACTTTTTGTCAATAAAACCAACGCCGAGTGTAAGAATAAATTTCGTTAAGGGCATTTCTACTATTAATAAATACCAATAAGCTCGTTATTTCCACATCTTTCTCGTATGTTATTTATCATGAAATTCGTTAAATTTATGCTTCAATATTTTTATCTGCACTTTTTACATATTATTATCTGAAATTTTATTTGATTATCAACATGTGCAGGGAAATTCAATTTGAAATCCAGTTTATATTTCACAGTTTTATTCATTTTATGCTTACATAGTTGAAAGAAATTTTTAGTGAGTTATAAATGTATATAATGTGATATCTAATTGGTACTTACATCAGCTCACACGAGAATATGAATTCAAAAGGAATACATAAACTTGAATTTGCATTGCTGTCGCTTATCAGAAATTTATCAATCCTTTTAAAACTGAACTGTAAGGCTAATTTGAACACGAAAACACGAATCGACATTGCCTTAAATAAAATATTTATACAATAAAAGCTTGTTTAATTTTGAATTAAATTTCGACACGGTCTTTATAATCTAGAAAACTTATTCATTCAAGCTTTTTCAAAAACATTTCTAAAGAAACCAACAATAAAAGAATGATTTTAATATTTTCTTAGTCACTAAGAAGCTTATTGGCTCGAATAGCGTGCGATCAAGAGTTAAAATTGTGATTAACATTGCACTTAAAGAGCAATATAAAATATATATATATATATATATATATATATATATATATATATATATTTGATCGATTTTTGGCGGATCAAGTGAAAGCTTACCATCTGGAAGGTAGTGAGATACTTCTTCCACCAAATGTACTTTTTGTATTCAGGGCCCATTGCCGCAATCATATAATAAAAGTACATAACGATGTGTACGAAAGTGTTGAGCAGAGCGAAAAAAGTTGAGTGACCGCCCGGCGCAAACTTAAGGCCCATCCAAACGGAGAAGGGCATTATGCCATGATGAATAACGTGAAGAGTAGAAACGTGTTGATTTTTTTTGCGAAGAATGAAGAAAAGCTGAAGTAAAAAATTAAATTAAATTATTAAATTAAATGTAATGAATTATTATCGATTATAATACTTGAAATTCCATTGACTGATAGTCAATAATCACGTTTCCTTTTTGATCTAATTACAACGTGACTTTACTTTATTTATATCAATTATAAAATACATAAACCAGATGTTATTGTAACAAAACACTAAGGTAATGTTTTTTTTTTTTTTTTTTTTTTTTTTTTTTTTTTTTTTTTTTTTTTTTTGTAAGCCTTACAGATACATTAAATTTTCATATTCAAAGACATTAAAAAATTGAGGAACGGGAAAGTGGAATAATACAAAGCTGATAACTAATAAAGTAAAATTTTACATATTCTTTTACAAGCCAGCATATTTCAAAAGTATTTTAACTTATAAAGATAAGATTTAAGGCAATAATAGTTTATTTCTTTCAAATAATAACAATAATATATATATATATATATATATATATATGTAAGTGTGTGTATGTGTGTACATAAACTGTACGTATTTAAAAAAAAACAGTATTCATTTAAATATAAATATATTTTAGCAGTAAACATTTAAATTAAATTTCATTTATTTCTTATTTCCAAAGATATACCTTTAATCTTTAAATACTTAATTTAAATATTAAAATTCCTTATTGAATCAAACAGTGATTAAAAATCTCTTAATAACAAGTCAATTTTTATTAAATATTTTCATTACTTGAAATATAATTTTACGATATCTCCGGATTAAAAATTTTTACAAATATAGTTTACAAATATACAAATAAACTTTAACAAATATTTTATAAATAATTACAAAGTCCATTCTAGACCATTTATGAAATACTTTTTTAAAAATGTCCATTTAATGTCACTTTTAGAAAGTTATTCTGAAATCCGAAGAGTAAATCAAATTATTATTATTCACTATTGTTATAAGCAAGAATATTAATGCAATTATGCATAAAAAGAAATTTCAGTTATCTTTCTTAGATATTTGTTTCTATTGATTAAGCTAGTTAATTGAAAGCAACTAAACAATTAGATTGAAATTTTAACGATTACAATTTTTGCTATTACAATTTTTCTAATTTTAAAGTGTTGTAATGACTTCAGTGCTCAAAATCATAATTTATCATTTAAACGTAAATCAATGCTCATGAAAATTAATTCGAAATATAAATTTGAAAATCATGTCTTTATATTATTTTAAAATATCGTTTAAAAATTTCTGATTAAATGAAAAACGAATAATATTTTTATTACACTCTTCACAAATAATGCAAATTTCGTTTTAATTGTAATGAACTGTGACGTTTGAATATACAGAGTTTAGAATAATATTTTTTAAAAACAATGGATGTCGGTAATATTCGGCATTTACGAATTTAAGGCTTGAGTGAGACATTAATCAGGATATTGTTAGGTGCAACAGATGCAACACGAGATTATAACGAAAGGAGTAGGATATAAAAGAAATTTTATTTAATTATGCTTTCATTATGCTGTTGTAATTATGTTCGATATAACAGAAAATTCATTAGTCATTTTATTCAAACGGCCATTAAGTCGATCTATAAACAAAACGAATAAATGGTGTTTATTTTTATTTAATATCACTTTCTTACTCACAATAAAAATGTTTATTTTATTACTAATCTAAACAGATTGATATAGAAGAACTTGCCATCTACCTAATATAAATGCAATAATCATCCAAGTTCTATAAGTGAAATAAATAAATTACGATGACAAAATTTTCAACTATTTAATTGCAAAAGTATTCGTATGTTGATGCTATTCATTTCAAGGATTTCATAAAAAGATTAGATAAATAATTTTTTTATAAAAAAAAATCTTAAATTGAATATTAAGAATTAAAACTATTTGTTTTGTTTTTTTAATTCTACAGGGTTTAAATACTTTAGCAAAGTATTATTGTAATAATAGCATAATAACTTCGAACTTTACTTAATAAATTTAAAAAATTCCATATTTATTTAGACCCTATGTTGCAATGATTTTAAAATGATTTTAAATGATGTAAAATTCTTTAATAAAAAATATTTATTTTCATATTTTATACAGTTATATAAACGTAAAATATTTTGATGTCAAGAATATGTAAATGGTTGGCTCTGCCAGTATGAATAGAATTCTTAAGTTAGAGAAAATTATTTAATTTTACAATGGTGAAATGATGTTACTGTAGAAAAAAAAAAGAAATTTCATTTCATAAAATATATTTCTATATAAATGAAATAAAATTTTTATATTTTATTAGCTGATTTTCTACAGCTAGAAAATCTTATTATAATCATAAGCATAATATGTAATCTGTGTAATATACATAATATTTATAATACTAGAAAAAGAAATCCTATTCGCGCACTCAATGAATAATGTATAATGTTTCTAGTTATATGTTAACTGAACATATTATTTAATGAATATATTAAAGAGAGTAAAGTAATGTTGGTATTACATATTATCTTATTATGCATTTTATAATATAAATACTGAGCATTTAAATAAGTAGAAGTAGAATGTCTAGTAATTATCGAAAAAGGAACTGGAATAGTATATATATATATATATATATACAAATTTGTGCTACTTACTATTTATTTGCAAGAATGGCATTTAATATAGGATCGAAATATTATTATTGTTAAATAACAAATGAACAAATAAAATATACTAATAATTACAAAATACACTTCGTTAATAAAGCCCAAGAAATATCAATAATGGATTGAATGTATTAATTTCATAATTTAAATGTGAAAAATGGTAATTTCGCTACTAAGCATCATTAAATGAAATTACTCTTTAGTTACAGTAGAACATGTTGGCAATAGAAATTTTTCATCAATCGCATCCACTTTACAGCCTGCAGAAAACACATCGATACATTCTAAAATCATATTTAATAAATAACGTTCATGCATATATATAATTTTTATTTATGAATTATCTACTAAACGTCTCGAACTACGATCAATTAACTATAGTAGGACTCGAATTCCTAGTAAATTGACATAAATCTAACTTAATAACACAAATCGTTATTAAATATATCATTAACATAATTATCTTATACAAAGCTAGTTATATTAATATTATATTACTATATAATAATACATGATACGCATTAATGTAATTATTAAAGTTAGCATTATTAATTGGTAGGCTGACAAATAAAGTGTATTCTCATTAAAAATGTATTAATTTTCGCATGTACGAATCGTTATTTGTTAAATTATCAACTACCAAATATTTCATAAATTATATTTCTACAATTCGATGTTTGACTACATGTTAGTTCGATATTTTTATAGAATGAAAATTTCTAATAAGAATACGAAACAACATGAATTTCTCATTTATAAGCAAATTACAATAATTTAATACGCATTGAAAATAATTGCCAACTGTTATAAAATTATAATTGTATTATTAATTTCTTCTGTTAAAATGTAATTAATTCGATAAGAATGAAAAATAAATAAAGCTTACCGTATCGAAAAACTCGGTGAACTTGCTGAAGTAATACCACCAGCAGGTTGCGGCCATACGAATGGCTAAAATATTATTAGAATAATCAACTGGTTGACATCTGAAGCTGTAACCCCTCGCCCAGCCACTCATCAAGTA